ATATAAATTAGGTTTATTTACCTATTTTAAACATCAACAGTGATTAATATGCAAGTTTTTGTCAGATGATAAGAAAACTAGTCTTGTAAGAAATAACCATGTTGCCAAGATTTTCGAATTAATTTCTATTTCCGAAGACTGGTTTTTACTACCCTCGTTATCAAAAAACTAGAATATTTGATAAATGATTGTTTTTAAACTATACATTTTTGAAACTATAGATTATTAAAATTTTAGTTGATTTACGAATCTGGCTAACACGAGCGCGTCATTTCCAAGTTGGTAAAAAGTGTTGTTACGATTACTTTTAAATATTTTTTTACGATGCCACTATTTACGAATATTGAACTAACGGATATAGTGCTGGTTTATGGGGCAGCTGGAGAAAATTCTCGGCAAGCACAAATCCTGTATCGCGAACGGTTTCCAAATCGGAGAATTCCGGACTGTCGTACGTTTATTTCAACTGTTCAGCATCTAAGAGACCATGGAAAATTTGAGAGTGTCAATGCAGATCGAGGGAGAACAAGAACACAAAGAACATTGGCGGCCGAAGAAGAAATATTGGAAGCTGTTGAAAACCGGCCTCAATTAAGTTGTAGAAGACTAGGTCTTGAAATTGGAGTGTCCTCATTTGTTGTGTGGCGGACACTTAAAGAACAAGGTTTACATCCTTATCGCATCCAAAAAGTCCAGGCCTTATATCCAGGTGATGAAGAAAAGAGAGTGGAGTTTTGTGAATGGATGATTCAAAAATGTGTTGATATTCCTGATTTTCTAAAAATATTATTGTATACTGACGAGGCTTCATTCACTCGTGATGGCGTGTTCAATATGCACAATACGCATATTTGGAGTGATGAAAATCCTCACGCCATTAGGGAAACTGGGCATCAAAGAAAATTTTCAATAAATGTTTGGGCTGGCATAATAGATCAGTATTTAATCGGGCCTTATGTTCTCCCGAACAGATTAAATGGGCCAGGATATCTCCACTTTTTAGAAGATATTTTGCCAGTACTCCTAGAAGAGATACCGTTACAATTAAGGCAACGGATGTGGTACCTACTAGATGGCGCTCCTCCTCACTTTGATTTAAACGTACGGCAGTTTTTGAACATTAGATTTCCTCAAAAGTGGATAGGCAGAAATGGACCTACTAAGTGGCCTCCGAGATCTCCGGACCTAAATCCATGCGATTTCTTTTTGTGGGGTCACATGAAACAACTGGTTTATAATGAACCTATTAATAGTGTTGAACAATTAACCAGTAAAGTTAATGCGGTAGCCGAGGAACTACGACAAAATCCAAGACTAATTTCTAATGTTCAAAGTTCTTTGGAAAGACGATTGCAAGTGTGTGTAAATAATAATAAATATGGAAACTAGTAGGTCGGAAAAGGGGACTCTTCCCCAATATTTAAATTTTAGAATTTGAAGTTAAAATTGGTGCCAATCGTTTTTGGTCATTACATACTATTCCCCATTTTAATATGTACGTGTATTTCAATAACACCCTGTATAATTTTTCAATAAATACTAAAGACTGAAAATCTCAAAACATGATCAATAAAATAGTTTTGTACACTTAGCGTTTAAAGCGTCTAAAATTTATTGTTTTCATCGTTTTCATTTTCAGTTGCCGGCCAATTTAATACTTGGTATAAAAGTCACGGTGCTTATCGAAAAGGTCTTTCTTATAAAATTTTCAAGTAGAACTTGTATTTAATTTGGTACTTGGATAGGTACCAGAGATTACAGTCGGATACTTGTTTTAAATAAATCGTACATAATTTTTTTACTGAGATATTTTTCTGTGCTACTATAGTAATTTTGTAGGAAAGTATTAATTGATTATAACACTTTAACTTACATCTACAAAAAAAACACTATTAAAACAACTAACATAACCTGTTTTCGCCCTATTTTTTTGCGGAAACTACAACATCTTTGTAATCTATATGTTCTTCACCATTTATTCTAGCATTTTTATTATTTTGCACTTATATAACTTTCTTTTTTCTTTTTTATTTATTAAAATAGTCGGAACACTATCAAAATCACTTTCGGCAGTTGATGCCATGGTTTTAAATAATTGACACCAGTACACTGCATTTAGAAAGAGCACATGTTACTGACTTGTGTTGTTTTTAGTTGCGTTTAGACGCAATCAGATATTAAGTGATGTAAAAGTCCTACGAATGTATTCGCTCCGTGCGCGACAGCAGCGCCAATTCACTTTGGTACTAATGGACTATTTCTGCCTATACTGACAATACAATTTTTAATAGAATTCGTAATTAAAAAGTATATATACCTATGTTAGTTTTATTAAAAGTATATGGGTTTGTAAAACAATAATTTATTATTATTATATATTTTTATCGATTAAACTAAAAAGAATTAAGTATATTCAATAAAAATCAATAATAAAATAAAGGCAGGCAACAGTATTTATGGGAAAATGTATGAGAAGTTGTCTAAGTTTAATAAGTTGTCTTTGAAGAATTATTAACTTATTCTGTCAAAATAAAAAAGTCTTTAAATAATTAGCGTGAAGTTAAAATGTATAAATAGAAGGAGTTATATTTTCAATTTTCTATCAGTAAGTCACAAAATTGCATTCAAGCCACATACAATAATCAAAGGCAGAAATGTAGTTCTTGCTGCATGAACATTTAAGATTAAAGGCACGTTGAAGAACATTGTGAAATGATAGTTATAGTTTATTTAAAACCTTTCAAGTTTCTGATGTCTACTATTTCCAGTATTACTGTTCTTATTATAAAAATAAAGGTAATTTTTCTTCTTATTGTACACATATCGATGTATTTCTTTGATTTAATTTCCACTTTGCTACTAAAAATTTTTATAATTTACACTGTTTTTGCTAGTATTTTTACAATTTTCAACACAGCAACTCCGGTTGCTTATTGTATTGTTTTTACCCACTTTTTTGAAAAAAAAGTGAAATGTATACGTGTATTTGATGTGCCAAAATTACAAAATATCGCCCTAAAATGCACGAATTATCCGCAGCTAGCGCTAGTATCGTTTTTGCTTCCCCTACCATGACTTCGCACTGAGCGATTATCGGGCAAGTGATGTTACTGCGTGGATAAATGTGTTTACCTTTAAATATTGTATTTTTGGTATAACCACAAAATGGAAAAAAATGTGACATGTGTCGTTTCTCAAATGTAGCAGTAAAGTAAATACGACCAAAAAAGTGACACTGTTAGTAAATCCGTAAAGTGTAATTTTTTATGAAAGTCGCCAAAAAAATTATTTGTCTCCTTAAAACTTTTTTTCTAGTTGTTAATTACATGAAAATACCAAAAATGGTAGATTCATAACAATTCAATGAGAAGACCATCAAAGGCAGAATTTACCAAAATATGGAACAGAATATTACAATTAAATAGGTAATAATAATAATAAAGAATTTAGCACAAGAAGAATTCACCGTACACTTAATGTACTGGATGACGACGACGACGACTAGAGCCACAGACCATACCCTTTAACTAGAGCTTTGTTCCAACACACACACAAACGGGATATTACGGTCATCGTCATGCGCAGTAAATAAAAACCTATCAATAAAGCCCAAAGTCGAACGGTTTTTATTTACTGCGCATGACGATGACCGTAATATTACGGTTTGTGTGTGTGTGTTGGAACAAAGCTTATGAAAACATCTTTTTTATCAATATTTATTTGAATAAATTTAAAATATAAAAACTTCAAAAGAAAAAAGATTGTGATATTTGGTCCTAAATATGGACCTGTATCCAGCTCAAAACAAAAGGGAGGGCCGCTTTCTAAATTCAATATTTTAAGGGAAGGATAGTGTTAAAATAATATACAGTATGGTTCAAATGAAAGGAATAAATTCATTATAATGGAAGTAGCTGGTTTTTCGAAAAAATGCTCGGACAGGTCAATTTTGTTTACTCAAAGCGCAATTTTTTATATAGAATTCAATTTTCCCCCACTTCCCATTTTTGAGCAGTGACGTCATTGACAATTTTTTTAAATAGTAACCTCAATTTGTTGTTCTTTGTTTTGATAGATCTTGCAATTTCCTACTCGGAAACATAATATTTGAAATATCTTACATAACAATTTTTTTTGAATAGAAGACATTTAAAGATCAGACACATAAATTTTATTTTATTTTCAGAACACAATAAATGAATAAAAGATAATTATTTGTAATTAAATGCCTAATCTAACAAAATAATAAAAATAATAATAAAAAAATGAATTTGTGAAATTGTCATTAAATTATTTTTATTATTATTATTATTATTATTATTATTATTTTAGATTAAGCACTTAATTACAAATAATTATCATTTATTCATTTATTGTGTTTCAAAATAACATAAAATTTATGTATCTGATCTTTAAATGACTTTTATTTAAAAAAAAATTGTTATGTCAGATATTTCAAATATTATGTTTCCGAGTAGGAAATTGCAAGATCTATCAAAATCAAGAAAAAAAAATTGGGGTTGCTATTTAAAAAAATTGTCAATGACGTCACTGCCCAAAAATGGGAAGTGGGGGAAAATTGAATTTTAATTAAAAAATTGCGCTTTAAGTAAACAAAATTGACCTGTCCGAGCATTTTTTTGAAAAACCAACTACTTCCATTATAATGAATTTATTCCTTTCATTTGAACCATACTGTATAATACCAAAATGAATTCACCATTTATTGAAAATGAAAACGTAATTTTTTAATAATAGTTTCCGTGGATTGCTTGCAAATCTTCTAATTACATCTTCTGCCAATTGTTTTTCATTTGCAAAAACCCACTGACGATGAATTCTAAGCATAGCTAATCTATTTTGACTAATAGTGCTCCTTAGCCATGTTTTGATTCTACGAAGAGAGCTAAACGAACGCTCGATAGTGTTAGAAGTACAAGGTTGCGAAAGCAATATCAGAAAAGCCTTTCTAATGGTCGGAAATAACATTTTGCTCTTTTTCAAAATCTCGGTGATGTCTGGTATTTCCTGCACCTTATTCCACATTTTGAACCATAATTTTCTCCTTCAATGCCTTTCAAATTGTAGAAACTTTCACAAGATGACGTGCTTTTTTTCCATTCTTCCAATGAAACATGTTTCATGTTACCCGGATGAAAATGGGTTAATGAAAATGCAGGTGATTTGTCTGTGGAAAATCTTACTTGTAGAGATCCAATGATTGAATCTAAGTAAGGAATTATGAGAGATCTTTTCCAAAAGTCGCCTGGGTTTTCGACTGGAGGGTTGTTTCTATGCTTTTGTCGGCCAGCAATACGAGCGACAGTTATATCAACATTCGAAGACTTTACTATATCGCCTGCTTCTTTTAAAATTTCAGCCGTTACGTTTTCTGCATTCTTACGATGATCTCTTAGCATTTCAACAATAGTTTGAATATGCTCGTTGGCTTTAACTATATCAAGTGTCTTCATTTGAAGTATATTTGCTAATGGTTCCAAAATGGCGGAATACTTAGCAATTAATGATACTGATACAATAAACGAAGATTTGCATGCCGCTGCATGCATTTGATATGCACTTTTTCTTGTCGCTCCATTTTCCTCCTCAGCTAATATCTCTAGTGCATCGACTAAATCGACAAAGTAACCCTTAAAAACACGAATGCTTTTAAAAATTTCTCTGACCACCTAGTTTCACACAATTTAGGAATGTTTGCAATAAGTTTGCGTCGTAAAACAGACTTAATTATCTCCTTGATAGTTCCAACGCTGTTTCGTATTTCCGGGATAACATTCAAGTCGTTCACGACAAGGTTAGGCTTGTGCGAAGAGCAGTGGAAGTAGAAAGCTTTTTTATACTTTTGCCTCAACATCGCTTGCACAACCGCCTCTTTTCGAGACATGGTGGAACATCCATCAAAACCTAACCCCACATACTTATCAGGATCTAGGTCTAAGTTTGTCACAAAATCATCAATGGCTTTGGCAATACTTCTGCATTAAGTCCTTCAAGCTCTACAAAGCCTAAGAATTCTTCTTTAATTTTTTTGGTATTTTCATCAAAGAAACGTAATCCAACAGAAAGCTGTTCCTTACCAGATATATCTACAGTTTCGTCAGCCAGAATGTGAGAATGCTATAAGCACAAGCTTCTTTAACATTTGAAATGATTTGTTCCTTTATTGAAGCGCCACAGAGATCAATTATTTCATTTTGAATGATAGGTGATCGGTATGAGACGTTTTTAGGTCCGTGCTGAAAATGGTGTCCTAATTGTGAATCACTTGCTTTGATGCATGAAACAAGTCAATAAGCACGCCTTCATTCAAATTTTTGCCTCTTAGAGCTAAATCATGTGTTCCATAAAAAATGATACATGAAACAATTGAGGACAGCACTTTTTTGTTTTTCTCTATTAATTGGTGTGAAGATTGGTTTAGTTGGATGTCAAATGGAACGACTTCCATTAACGATTTTGCAAATTCCATTGCAGGTCTGTATCCCTGTGTTAATACATGTGATTTGGAATAATTGTGCACGTCCTTGTATTTAGTGAAGGATCTGATGATAAAAGATCTCCAACCACCTCTTATCATGCTGGCTGAAGGCGAAAACAGAACACAATATTTACAAAAAGCACCTTTGAGCCGTCTTGAGTAAGTTAACCATGGCGAATATATGTCCAACCAGAGATGATTGAATTTCCTCTTCAGGTGTTCAGCATCAGCAAAATCATAGTTTTTCGAGGGTATCCAGCAAATTTTCAGAATATTAAGATTTATCTTAATTTAATTTTTTCGGGTTCGGAAAAGGAGACAGCTGCCCCCCCTTGCCCTCCCTGGATATGCCCTTGCCTGTATCTGCATTTGTAACGTGTGGAGTGTGGGTTGGTCCTCGTCACTTAGGCCTCACTAGGCCCAATATGCATCCTCGTGAGATAATCAGCACCTCCAAGCTCGTGATCCAGCTTCCAGATTTAATGTAGTTGAAAACGTTTCCAAGAGGTGCTTATATCGGCCGGTATTAGCCGATACATGCCGACCACTAATCTTTTAATAAATAAGAGTGTCTGGCTATCGTTGAGGACATCTTCTTGGTAGCACCACCTGCAGAGTGCGAATTCTGACAGCCCCATGATATGGAGATTTTTCCGTACTTGGCAATGACCAGTCAGAATGTTTGTGATCAGGAGTAGATTCTGTTTAGTCATAGTCAAGAATTTTTGTTTGCTGTATTGTTGTGAAGATAACTTAAAAGCTCTCTGGCAAGTCTGCAGCCTCTGGTTTCATCCCATTTTTGCTTGAATTTCACAAGGGAATGTTCTTTAATTAGGTTTGTCACTACCGATGTTATCAATGTAGTAAAAGGACCAGGTCCAAAAAGTATTTGGTTATTTGCCTTCTTGGCTAGTGAATCAGCAAGACCATTTTATATTTAGGTTTAAAAATCTGGAGTATATTCCACATCCTGAACCTTGTTTTGTTTTAGAACCATCGATTTAGATATATATATATCGTACCTGCCACTTCCGGCTCTTTTATTTGTTCTGTTATAACTTTATTTGGCTTATGGAAGTTATATCGCAGTGAGAAGGAGTCCATGTTTGCTTGAAACAGTAAAAGCGAATCGAGCGGCTCCTGTCGAAAGCGACGTCTCACCTCATCAGATCCTACATCAGATTCTATTCCAAGCGTGCGGAGGCGTGTAATTGTCATCAGAGCAACCTCCTTAATGTAAATATCAAGGGAAGTGAGACTAAGAATGACTTCTATGACTCTGGTCGGTGTGGTTTTCATGTTTTGCAAATAGCTGTCAATTATTGGATTTTTGGTACCCAGATTACTGCCCCCCTTTAGTTAACATAGATCTAATGATGGCCGTGTAAGTTCATGCGACGGCGCCGACTCTGGGGAAAAAACCTCAGGAGCGCGCCCCATGGCTCAACGGCATTGTTCATAAGCAATGTTTATTTTTTTACTCTGTTTTTTAGGTTTGAGTTCCATTTCAACTTGCTGTCGAAGGTGAGACCCAGGAACTTCACTTCTGTTGCAAAGTTTAGTTTTGTATTTAGAAGCTCTGGAGGTTTTAATTCCATTTTCTTTTTTTTTTCCTTGTGAAAAGAGCCATTTCTGCCTTCTTGAGATTGCTAGACAGTGAATGGCCCTTGCACAACTGTTCTATAATTTTGAGAGCTACGTGCATTCTTTCGGAGAGTATATTCTCAAAATCCCCTGTTTAGCGAATGACCAGGGCATCTGCATATGCTCTTGTGTAGTGACTGTCATTATTGAGGCTGCTGATGAGGATGTCGAGAACCATTTTCCACAATAGAGGTGATATCACCCCTCCCTGTGGACATCCTTTGCAACCAAGCCTCTTAGATTTACATACTCTACACTTATGTTTACTGCTCGCTTTGAGAATATGTTATGTATCAATCCACTAACCAACTGTAGAACATTGGTTAGCGAGTGTATTAACTTGGGAAAGGTCGTCTTATCAAAAGCACCTTCTATGTATATGAAATCACCCAAGGCGGACTCTTTATTGTCCAAGGATCTCTCCGGCCAGCAACTAGATGAAGGGCTGAATTAGTAGGTCTGTCTGGGTGTATATTTTTGAATCTCAGAGAGTAGAAATTTTGAAGGAGGAATGAGACAGGAATAAAATTTTGTACGCTGCAGATAAAGAGCAAAAATCGGTTTTCCATTCCTTTGAATTCAAGAATAGCTACCTTGGGGTGTATGCATGTTGATTTGAGTGTAGTGGTATTGTTGTAATCACCTCATACCTTAGTATCTTTCGCATACCCTTTTCAATATATTCATGGAAAACGAGGGTAATTAGTCTACGGTTTTGGCCAGTGTAATCCATCCTTCTAGGTTTGGGTATAAAGACTACTTTTACCTCTCTCCATTTATCAGACGTACATTGTTTTGTTTTAAAGATGGACGAATTTATTCATTTGTGGTAAAGATTTCTTTCCTTGTTTGTGCCTTAGAAGATTCGTAAATTATAGAGAATAATATTTGTGCTAAAGGTCAAAAACATGGTGAATTATGGGTCAAGAAAAATATGCAAAATGGATCAAACACCCTGTATTTCGGTTATAAAGTACAAAATACTACAAAAGGATTATTTGAAAGCACCTCGGTGGCCTCCATCCATAGTTAACGTGTGTCTTTTTCCTAATGAATCACCCTATATGAGTTTCATTTGCGACTTTGGTTGTTCCATAACTAAGAGTAGTTAACACATCTACAACTTCTATAGAAATTAAACATTTTTATCTGTTATAAAGTATTTTTTAATATTGACCTACACGACTTAGATTTATTCATGTCAATTAGTTCATTTTTAACATTGTAATAGCGATACTATTTTTTATTGTTCAGATAATAATATCTTTATTTTTCAATATGCTTTGGTGCGTGGTTAACGAAGATGATTTTTATTTCTTATTAAGAATTTATATAAAATAGAAAAATATTTTTGAAGCTTTATTTGAAGTGCGTTACAGATCATACATGTTTCAAAAGGTTTGGATAATTTAAATTTTTAGTGCTTCTTGATCAAATTTATTTAATAATTCTGTAATATAGATAAATGACTCAATTAAATTATTCAGTTGTGACTATTCAACAGTGATAAAATACTTTACCTATATAACTTTCGCAGATGATATTATTCCTATAAGTGAGAAATTTTCCTGTATTGCAAGCTTTACAATTGGCTTTTAATTATAATTTGTTATTAATTTTCCACAAGTGCAGCTATATTTAATATATTTAAGATAATTTGTGTTAATTATATTTGTGTAAATGGATTCAGGTAACTCCAATATTTATAGAGAGCGATCAATTTCATTTAATAATTTTTATTTTTTTTTAATATAACGTGTTTCGGCAGCTTAATGACCATTGACCGAGCTATTGACTCAAAACAGTACAGTGGTATAGTCTTTCTAGACACAATCCAACACGGCATTATAACTGACTAGCGCCGACTTCAAAGGGTCCGCGCACATGGGCGTACGTTTTTTGTTAAATTAAATAAATTAAATAATTAATTAAGTATAATTCTTCTATTATCAATAATTGGAAGGCATTAAATGCCGTTATTTAGACAGATGCACTAAATTATAGTTCTACATGAAACTTAAAAAAAATATATTATTATTATTATTATTATTATTATTATTATTATTATTATTATTATTATTATTATTATTATTATTATTATTATTATTATTATTATTATTATTATTATTATTATTATTATTATTATTTATTATTATTATTATTATTATTATTATTATTATTATTATTATTATTATTATTATTATTATTATTATTATTATTATTATTATTATTATTATTATTATTATTATTATTATTATTATTATTATTATTATTATTATTATTATTATTATTATTATTATTATTATTATTATTATTATTATTATTATTATTATTATTATTATTATTATTATTATTATTATTATTATTATTATTATTATTATTATTATTATTATTATTATTATTATTATTATTATTATTATTATTATTATTATTATTATTATTATTATTATTATTATTATTATTATTATTATTATTATTATTATTATTATTATTATTATTATTATTATTATTATTATTATTATTATTATTATTATTATTATTATTATTATTATTATTATTATTATTATTATTATTATTATTATTATTATTATTATTATTATTATTATTATTATTATTATTATTATTATTAATATTATTATTATTATTATTATTATTATTATTATATTAAATTATAAAACGTAAATTGCCGAGTAAAATGTTCCTGCCTGCAAGGGCGTTTGGTTTAAACAGGGTACCAGACGTGAACTGAGCCCTTTTTGTACCCCATTCGTTTTTTTTCTGGAAAACGAAATTTCAAAGCAAAAACCATAAAGGAAAATAAATTCTTTACAAATAAAACAAAACTATTAATGTATTAATGTGATGACGCTCGGATTACCAATAATGAAAAATAAGAAAGTTAATCCGAATCTAAATCAGAACCATCTGTCGAGGAATCGAGGTTTGGATTTATAACTACTGGAGCTATAGAAGGTAAAACATAATATTCTTTTTCCTTTTTAATGACGTGATTAACGCTGTTTTTCCAAACGTCAGTCAAAGACGGATCTTTAAAAACGCCAATAATATTTTTCAAAACCACATTTGTTAAGGTAGGTGCAAAATTATTACGTCTCAGTTTTTGTTTAACTGAAGACGAACATAACTCAATTGGATTAAGTATACAATGTAATACAGTATGACCACCATATTTTGCAAAATTATCAATATAATAGTGTATTGGAATATTCTTACTTTTAACAATTTCTAACAATTGTGGTTTTGTTTTTACGAAAGCAGGAATATCAATGTTATTATCTTTTAAATATTGTATTATAATTGATTTCTTAGAGCCACTATTTGGCTTCTTATGAATTTGTCAATTACAATGACCGAATTTGGTGAAATATTTGGTAAAAGTTGTTCAGCAAACCAGTTCTCAAAAACTGCTGCATTCATATCTTCATGATAATCCAGCAGAGCTTTATTGATATTTTTTGCTGAAAGTAGCAAAGCGTTTGGTACAAAGCCATTTTCATTTCCGGCATGTAAAATTATGACTCGTTATACTCGTTTCCCCCTCGAGCATGGTGCATTTAAAACACAATTTTGTGAACCGTTGCCCAACCACGTTGAACGAGATCATGAGTGTCGCCATATTTCATCTAAATAAACTATATTTCTATTTCTAAATTTAAAAAATTCCCTTAAATAAATTTGACGTAACTCCACAATTCGACGCGACTCCATAATGCACATTCGGCTATTTAACTTTTTATATCTAAAACCACAAGTTATTAAAATTTGTCGAAGTGATTCTAATGATTTATATTTGAAATCTTCAAAATCTTGTAATTTTCTAAAAAGTATCTCTTAGGTTGGGACTTGGTTTTCTTTAAACGTGTTGTAAACCGTTCGTCGAATCACATCTTTAGATGCATCATCTATCCGACGGCTGACGATACGTTTTCTTTTTTGACTGTGTTCAATAACGAAATAAATTGTGTAATAGGGAATTTTTGTTAACTTACATATTCTTTTAACTGCATCTGTTTGTGAAATATTTGGATTTTCTGATTTAAGACAAACAAACATTTAAAATGACCTGTTGAACTTGAATATGTAAGTCTTGGTTTTTGAATTCTCAAGATTGTGTTTCACCTTGATTGTCATTATTTTGAATTGCATTATTAATACGTATTTCATCATTAATTTGTACTGCATTTAATTGTACTTCATCATTTTTCTGAATTTCAATATTTATTGCAATTTCATTATTAATGTGAATATCATCATGTGAATATCGACATTAACCTGCAATTCATTAGCATCTACATTTACCTCAAATGGTCTCCAGAAAGCCATCACGTACAACACAAATCAAAATTTAACAGAAACACCTTAAAATAAAAACAAGAAAAGTTTATATATACCTAAAACAAACGTTTGAGAAAGGTATCAGGCCAGCACGCTACTGAATAACGACATAATAACCGAAGAGTCCGAAGACCGGTCTTTACCGCCAGCCATAAATTATAAAAACTTATTTCGAACACGCCTCCAATTTCCCGATTGCGATGTTTTCATTGGTAGACAAAGAAGATGATGGGCTTGTGACACACGTTAATCAAGTCCACGTTGTCTAGCGGCTCCTGTGTTTTAAAAGGGGAGTATACAATATTTTTCGCGCTTATTTGCAATGTGAGGATATAGCATTCTCAGCGCTTATAACGTAAATTATTACGCGCCTCCGGTACAAACGCTATGTTGGATTGATTTTGGAAAGAGTATAAAGAGTGATTCACAAAAAATGTTTATAAAGTAGGCCATGAGCATAATTCCGCACTGCTCGGAAATAAATCCAAACTGACTCTTAAAAATCTAATGTGTCCAACACATGACTTTCCTATCTAGTTATTATAGGCTTTTTCCGGTTATTTTGTTTAGACGATAAACTAAATATATACATTTTCCACATACATCTAACTCGAAACATTTTTCTATAGATATTCATTGAAAACGAAAATATTAAAAAATTTAAATTTAATACTTTTCCTCCAATTTTTCCATTACGATCCATTTTATAAAAATCATGTAAAATTTAAAATTATAGAGATCGATATCGCAACAACTTTTAGTTTAACAATTTTCTTAAAAATCAGAATTTTGCATATTTTGTCAAATTTCTCGAATACGGACTCCAAAATGTAAAAATCCGTCGAAACCTGGAGGTCGAAAAAAATCATGATTCCTATACTTATCTGTATACAGATAGGAAAGTAAAAAGATTTGTTCCTTTCCGACATAAATTAATTTTTCCAAGGCCTACTTTAGAAACACATTCTGTAGATGCTACATCATAAAATATCAACATTGTATTAAACTTTAAATTAGACGATAACAATAATATTAATAATACTCTCCCTATTCACCCCCTTACGGGTGAAATTCAACCCCTGAAGTTGACTGAACGATTTGTGTAGGGGAAGAGACGGTTATTATTATTATTATTATTTGTTGTGGCGCTCCGGGGCAACTTATGATTGATGGTGCCATTTGACTTACAGGTGAGGAAAACCCGCAAAACCTCACCCACCATCATCGAGGCGGTAACGCATGGCGATTTTATAATCTGCATGTCATATTAACAGAAATTGAATTTCTATTAATACGGCACACATTAAATCCTATAACCAACCATGCAATTTTTTTAAAAATCCACATGTCTGGTGTAGGATTCTGACCACAAACTTGCCTATAAATGAATATAAGCCACCGACTCGATGGTACCTACAACTGAACCTCCTCTTGTAAAAATTTTATTACTATAGTAAATTGACTGTTTAATATTTCTTTTAATGAGTCTTCTTTGAATATCTGCATAATGATTGAGTTCTAGGAAAAAATGTTGTATAGTTTCATTACAGTGGACATTGTGGAGGCTAATCACCAAGAGACATTAGATAAACGTGTGTAAATCGTATATCTTATCCTTAATCTTTGGATAACAATTTTGTGTTTTCTGTTCAGAGGAGGTATTCTGACTGATTTTCATGGAGTTGAATATTTTCCAGAGAACCTAGGACTCACTAAGCCTAACTTGGCTTATTCTCCAGCCTCCAGGGGTATATAGCACCTGTCTCTTAAATTGTCAAAAAGCCTGCTGGATGATAAGTCGCTGATAGGTATTTAGGGACAGCCAGATTCTCAGCTCGTCAAAGTCCTGCAGGCTTATTAGTAGTAAATGAAAAATGTAAGGTCAGCTGGGACACAATTTTACAACATTTTCGGAAAATCATTTTAAATGCGAACAGTTTAATGATCTTTGATTTGTAAAATGCTAATATATCTTTGAAGGTTTAGTTAATTGTATGTGTAGCCAGATTTGTATTTTTTTTTATTTTTCGCTGTTTACTGTCCCAGTTACCCACAATATTAGGATAACTAAAACAGTGGCACATATTTTGACTACTATTTAGTTTGTTAATACTCTGGGATTTTACTGGGATTGCTGTGCCATGTTTTTATTTGTATATAACTTCATATTTGCATTCCATCTGGGTTCTGACCTCGGCACTATTGCGCTTTAGTCGATCTATTTTATTTTAGACAAAAATGAAACACTATACCTGTGTATATATTCTATAAAGTGCATGCTCTAAAACCTATTTAAAAGGATTCTGCTTGTAATATGCTATATTACATACTATAATTGCTATCTTATTACATATTTGCAACGGTATTTTTTTAATTAAAATTTAATGAAACTTCATTATTTGTTCAAACAATGTTCATTTATAAATATTTTTGCTGGGACTCTTTTAAATTTTATTTTAAATGAATAATTTAAAGATATCATTTGCCTAAAAATGTCTTATCTTAAAAATTAGTATTAATAAAAACTAATGGAGTTATTATTATAATTCTTGTGAATAAATTCCAAATAGTTTCATTGAATTACTTACCTTATCATAACACGTTTCGTTTAAAATTACATTACGTAAAAACTCGAGATAAGAACCAACAGTAACCGCTAAATTACCAATCTTGTGCAGATTCGACAAAGAAAACTGGCCAGCGACTTGTTGGTGATGTAGCTTATGAAGAGGCTAGCAAAGTTGCTTCCTACATTACTCCTGTACCAGGTGGTGTTGGACCAATGACAGTAGCTATGCTTATGAAGAATACTGTGGAAAGTGCCCAGAGAGCAGCACAAAAGATACTAAGCAAATCTTGGAATTTAAGTATTCTTCCACTGAAATTACAGACGCCAGTTCCAAGGTAGGTTAATATTTATTTACAAAATACTAGCATTTACTTTAAAACTGATGCTAATTCCTATTCAAGTATTTCTATTAACGAAAATGGTGAATAAGTACTATCTCAGACAGCACTAAAATATTGCTACACTTGCGTGCATAGAAATCGGCCCACTGTAAACTTTTGACTTTAACTATTTTTTTTATTATTATTTACCAGATCGAAAAAAAATATGCTGTTTGAAAGACAATTTAATATGCTTCAATAAATAGTAATGTTGTTTAATAATTAAAAAAAAATATAGTTAAAGTCAAAAGTTTACAGTAGGCCGAACAAAACTTAGTCTGCCATGGCATTATAGGAGGTGGTGGGAATATTTAAGGTCACCATATGTCCATGATATATTTTTATCACGATTTACTGAATATACTATACATGAATATATTTTTGGTTTCTTGAATATTTAAGGCATATTGTAATTTTTTATAATACAGAAGTCTGCAATGCTACGGTTCAGTAAATAAAACCCATATATACAAATTTGTATTATAAAATAATTAAATTTTATATAAAAAATAATTATAAAAAACTCATTGTATACATAAAAATATAAATGGTAGCCATTTTTTTAAATTCACTGGCTGAGGTTCTTTAGGGCCGCCGAGAGCCAGGTCGGGCCCCAGGACAATTCTCCAGATCGGGTCCCGCGACAATTTTATAAAAAAAAAGGTCTTCAAGCAAAAATTTCTTCTGAAAGTAAAAAAAATCCTCGCCACAGTTGCCGGGCCCCCCCTTATACCGCTGCCGGGCCCCCATTTGAGCCCGGGCCCCGGGAATTAGTCGCGGCTGCCCCCCCCTCTTGGCGGCCCTGAGGTTCTTCGCGCTCTTATCACCTAATAATTTACAGGGTGTTTCATAAGGAATGGTAAATATTTTAACCATACTTTTAAGGGCCCCAAATATTAATATTTTGCTTAATAACTTGGGTCAAATGTTATCTACTTCTGACTTAAAATTTAGTTTTCGTTTTTTTTTTGTTTTAATTTTTTCGTTATGATTTAAAATATTGACTTGAAATTTGGTGCGGTTATAGTTTTGAGCTAGTAAATTATAAGTATGTTATTAATTTTGAGATTAAACAAAGAGGGCGCCATCAACACTATACTGGATGAAGAAAACTATTAATTTCTAATTTTTTTAGGTCTTTATGATACACCCTGTATCTATATATCTATCTGAATTAGGGCATGGTTCAAAGCTCACTCGTACTGAAGCTCTAGGCTTATTGTACCCCTCACAGTTTCTACCCCATCAAATTGATTTTCTTGATGAATTCAAGAATATGTCTGATGGGCGCTTTCGCGATTTCTTCAGGTTCCGGATATTGTACCCCCGAAGTACCATTCCCTTTCCCATTCAAGGTTCCGACAGTTCAATAGTATGTGAATAGGAGTTTAGTCCTCCTCTTTACATATTCTACATAGAAAGTCATCAGATTTGTGTGTCTTCTAAGGCCGCAGTGTCCCGTAAGGAGTTTGATTACGGCCTTGAGTTCGCTTCTGCTAAGGTTTAGCAATTGACTTTGTCTGCTCTTGGATATCCCCTCTATGAATCTTTTGGACTGTCTAAGTCCAGGAAGTTCCAACCAAAGCCTATGGTGTTCTCTATTTATTTGTTCCTTTAACACTCATATAACATGTGGGTTCTGGTCCAATTTTTTCCGCTTCCTTACTAGTAGGTCTGCTTTCTCGTTTCCAAACACTCTCTCATGTCTTGGCACCCATTCAAGGGTGACCTTGTTAGGTTCTGCCAGGTCCTGGAGGGACTGTTGGCAATCAAGTATTAATTTAGATTGTACTTCTACTCTTTTCAGTGCTTTAAGGGCTGCCTGACTGTCATGATGAAGACCATCTTATCTCTAAAAGAGTCATTTAGCATAACTTTGGAGCAGGCATTTATTGCTGTTACTTCAGCCTGGAAAACTGTTGTCAGTGACCCCAGGTTCAGACTAATGGTCCTCGCTGAGTTCACATGGTAGATCCCAGCTCCTGTGCTGTTTTTCATTTTCGAACCGTCTATATACTAGATTGATTTGTTTTGTTTTTCCCTATTTTCCCGGCTTTTGCCCTTTCTGGTATTTGAATATCGAAAGGTTTCCTGAAGTCGTGAATAAATGTCGTTCTATCGGATGGCATTCTTAATACCAGATTTTTGGGTGGTGTCCTTTTTTCGAAAGTTCCCATCCAAATCCATTAGTAAACAGCCTGTATGCCGCAGCCACAGCCTCCTTCTCCACCACAAGGTGTAATGAAGGAAGAGCTGCTGTGAGCGTCGTTCTAAATGCCCCTGTTATTATTGACAGGCTAGTCTTTATTGTACCTTGTCTAATTTTCTGTTAGCTGTTATCCCAGTATATATACCAATCTGTTATGCTTTTAGTCTGGTGCCATTATATGACTGATGAGTAAGTTATAACAGGTACTGCAACCATACTGTAAATTTGAACAAAAAAAAAATGTATACTTGTTTTAATAGCATAAATTCAAACCAGTTTGAAAAATTGCATTTAAAATATTCTAATCACGGTACATAGCTATTTAATTTACTTAGCAATATTTTAACATAGTAATTTTAAAATTTAGTAAAAGTCATAAATTCAATTCTTTGTGTTATTTTTAAAATAATTATTTTAAAATATAGGGTATATGTACCTACAACTCGAATAGATTAAGTGTCTTCAAACTATTGAGCACTTTGTCTACGACGTTGTGTTCAAACAGCACAAATAGGTACTTTCTTATTAATTTTAAACATTTAGAACGTTTCTGAACTGGTGAAAGCCACTTTCTATTTGACTGTGTCAAATAAATCTTTAAGTTTATTTATTGTAAATGAACATTATTCAATAGTTTTTTAGGTATTTATTGAAACACTTTTATTTTTAGTGACATTGTCATAGCTAGAGCTCAAACACCCAAAAACATCGCAGTACTTGCTGAAGAAATAGGATTGTCCCCTTCCGAATTTTCTCAATATGGAAACAAAAAAGCTAAAATTTCTTTATCTGTGTTAAATAGATTAAAAGACCAAAAGAATGGGAAATACATAGTTGTTGCAGGGTGAGTAGGGTCCTAGTATAGGCCTAAATTATTTTTTTTTGCTATTTATTAATGATATGGTAAATCTCAAACTATTTGTTTAAAAAACTTCCACTAGAGTTATCTTAAAGTGTTATTCGAGGAATGATATTTTATTCCATATCAGTAACTACGTCGCTGTTTATAACAAGCATCATTTTATGATATTTAGCACCTTATGACTCCATTTTCTCTTCTTTACCATGGATCCATTACAAAGGATGAAATACATTTAAGGTGGTAAAACTAACAACCAACAGATCACTGATTCTACTTTTGGTTTGGTGGCCTCTGCCAACCACATTTTTCTGGTCCTTTCACTCTTGTGTGTATTAATAATAATTATCTTACTACATTTTTATGGAGCTACCTTATCTGCAACAGCTGCAACATTAAAAATCAATCAATTTTACCTAATAAAGGCGCTTTAACAAAAATGTAGATGTGGCACTGATTTAGTTTCTTTATTCCTTTGAATTAACAAAATGTTATTATTTACCTGGTTACTTTTAAGACGATCTTAATACTATGGACCTCGTTCTTTATAAAAAATAAAAATATTTATCCATTTTTTTCATGTTATACTCGTAGAATGACTCCCACTCCATTAGGAGAAGGAAAAAGTACTACTTTATTAGGATTAGTTCAAGCATTATCAACTCATCTCAAAAAGAATGTTTTTGCAACAATGAGACAACCTTCCCAAGGTCCAACATTTGGTATTAAAGGTAAGAAAAAAACCGCGTGTTGGTAAAAGAGGTTTTTACAAAAGCGTAGAAGGACCACAAAATATAAAATTTTGCATAATATGAAAATTTACAGGTGGTGCTGCTGGCGGGGGATATTCGCAAGTTATCCCAATGGAAGATGTTAATCTTCATTTAACAGGAGATATCCATGCTATTACAGCTGCAAATAACTTATTAGCGGCCCAGTTAGATGCTAGAATTTTCCATGAAGCTACCCAAAAAGATCAAGCGCTCTACAGCCGTCTTGTCCCCAAAATCAAAGGTGTCCGAAAATTCTCCAACATTCAACTCAGGAGATTGAAGAAAGTTGGCATCAACAAGACTGATCCAGATACTCTTACCAATGAGGAAATTACTAAGTTTGCAAGATTAAACATCGATAGCAAAAATATCGTTTGGAGTAGAGGTACTATTTACAGATTAATTAGATTTACAGCGTTTCTCAAACTGTGGGGCGTGCCGAAGGTAGACAAGTGTGGCATCGTCGAATGAATAAATGAACAAAATATCAGAATATTAAATTTTTTTTCGAAAAATATGGGATCATATAAGTACAACGTAAGCTTTAAAACTAAAATATAAATCAAACTTTTTTAAGACATATCTACATGGAATGACTAATATGCGCATGCTTTAAAGTACACGTTTGGTTTAATATTCGAAATAGACATTTTGATTTTATTTTCAATTTGAAGTTTGTTTTTATATTTCGACTTTTAAGCAGTTAGAGCGGAAAAACCAGTTTCACAAAGGTAAGACGTAGGAAATGGTAGCAGTATCCGAAACGCTTTTATTAGCAAAATTTCATTTTTCTGCGCCACTTGAAAGATCTTCTTGCAGCGATAGTTCGGTAGATATGTCCTTTCAAAATTAATTTATTATCCAATTCCAACCAATCAGTTTTTTCTACAAAAAGAAAGTAAAAAACACCCAGTTTAATGCCTTCTTCTGCGAAAAAATATTTGCTGAAAGTAGTGCTTAAATTTCCTAAATGAAATACTTTTTTATAATTCTCTTCTAAGTCTGGATAAATTCACACATTGTGGGAAACATATCAAATAAATTGTCTTTTAATTTGTTATTCTATACCTATATTTTCTTACAAAAAATATTAATCAAATATAGTTTTATTCCTTGAAGTTGACGATTAAAGGAATTAAATTGTTCGAATAAATATGTCTATTAAAAGTAAGATAAATTCATTAGAAAAAACTTGTAGAATTCGTCGGCATGTTTGTGACCCTCCTCGCTCTAGAATGTCACTATTTCGTTTCTCATTTCATATACGCCCTTGAACACTACTGCGTGACAACAATCTGGATGAAGAACAGAAGAACAATGATATATGTTTAGTTCCCGTGTCTTCACAATCCTTGGATATTTGAAGTCTGTTTTTTATATAAATAATGACATCAATAAATAGCAAAATATGATTTAGCCCAAGATTTGCAAAAGTTTCCCTTTAAATCATTTAGTCTGGGTACGACCTAAATTTTTCAACCTGTAAACTATTATCTACCGGCCAATCAGCTTCATCTGTGGAAACTGCAAGAGAATCTTTCCACTACAAGTTTACCTTGAGAATAGACATCATTTGTAATTCTAAATAATCTATAGTAGTTGCTCTTCCTGTTATATAGAATTACAAAACAGCAACCTAAGTAGCACCTAACGGTTTTATTCAATACTTCAAGGATACTTTAAAACTGTAGAATATAACTACAATTAGTTTTAAAAGTAGCCTTAAGGTTGTAATAAATAGGCGTTCAGCATAAAAGGGCCCACTCTGAAAGAGGTCAATAAAACAAAAAAAAAAACACCATAAAACTATATTACCTTAAAGCTGCTGTGAGGACCCTTTTAAAACCAGTTTAAATACATTTTAAACACACGGTTTTGAAGTGGATTTAAAAATGTTGGTTACATGTATACTTTTAAAGATAATTTATCTTACAGTTGACACATGAAAATAGTTCATTCTTTCAGCAAATAAAAGCAATTTATATTTGAAGGTGATAATATGGTAACGCTCTAACTAAAAAGATTATTTATATGTACCTATATTCGTAGAAATATAAAATAATAAAAAGTAAGGTAGTGATTTCGGAATGTCAGGGTAGAAATATATACTGCCCACCCGACTTTATCGATAAATGTTAACGAAAAAGTCTTAAAAACTTGAGGGCTTTAAAATTTCTGAAGTTTTATAATAAAAAAAAAATAAAAAAAATTGAAAAATCATAAATTTGAAACAAAAATAATTTTATCTATTATTTTAGATATTTCTGTAGTAAAAGAAATCTAAATTATACGTTAACTTGTTTTTATGTAAGCCTAAATATTTTTATCTATCATGGTTTCTAACGTCTGGAGAAAGTAAAATGGCCGGAAATTAAATAAAACCGTTTAGTTAATGGACAAGGAAACGTTAAGATCAAAGGGTTTTTTTTTATTTAATAGTTTTATACTATTCCAAGAGCACATACCCTAGACAAAAGTAAGATTCGCTGTGGTCTAAACGGTTTAGTTTTAATGCGGCTGTGATAAATGTCGCTCGGTTTTAATATAAACCTAATCTTAAAATCTCCGTGTCGTATTAATCATTTGGGTTTTGTGTATCATTAGTGTTTTCAGTTTTTCGAATTAATTATAGGTACATCACTGTTTGACATGATACAAAATGTGGGGTTCATTTGGGTCACGTAAGAAGAGGGGATGAGTTTAGTTTTATTGTTTCTACGATAACCAAATTGATTTAGTTAAAAGCGTTCCGTTTTAATATAGCTTTCTAATTGCATTTAAGAAAGCCGTTATAAGGTAAAGTAATGAATTAAAATATAACGCAATATTTACTGACCAAATTGTCCTAAGATCAAGCAGATTTAATAATAGGTTTGAGAATATCTTTAATACTACTTAAAAATTATAACATCACAACCTAAAACATAATAAAACCAAACAACCTGCAAGTCCTTCATAAAACTAAATAGTTTTAAAGTTAATTGAAACTAAACCATTTTAAAACATCCTGACAAACAAACTTTTAAGATTAATTGTCCTCATTAGCGAATCTTATTAGATTCTTTAAAACCAGTATTAAATGATAAACAGCTTTTAAACGCCTACAAGGTAACTTTAAACCCAGTGTCTTCTTATTTACCGCATTAAAACCATTTTAAAACTCAAATAAACCCAAAGTCTTTTTATGGTGCTACTTGGGAAGTCTTCATCTATTGCAGCTCTCTGACAGAATATGATATAGAAAATCAAGTGAGAAAATCGGCTGCTTCGTCAAGTTGAATGGCAAATTATTTTTTAACTAACTCAGTTTCAAGTTTTTAGTGTATATCTTCAGATATTATCGTTAATTCTTTGGCAAATGGTATCGTTTGACAGAGGAATATTTTTAAATTATTTATTGTAGCTTTTATCAAATATTGTTTCTGTCATATTTATAGTAGCTGGTATAATCAACAGTATGTATAATTTTATATGCCACTTTGTATGATGCCAATAAAGCTTTTCCACTTTCTGTGAGAGTGGTTAAATTTGACTTGTGTCCTTTGCAAAGAATAACGAAGCTTGTCGACATATTCTTTGTGCAGAGTTTCTAGATGTCTCCTCAACTTATTGAGTCGTTTTATGATATATCTGCAAGACAAATAATATATTGAGATTTTTCTTCCCCACTTATTTCAATGCTTGTAAAAATAGAAGTTTAAGTACACTTGGCCATATTTCTTGTTTTTAATTTTGCAGCAGGATTAGCGCAGAGTCTTTCTTGACATTTCTGCTTCTTCGTCCTTTAAGATTACCTCCAAATAAAATTTCTCCATATTTACTATATGTGTAAATATCCAATGTTTTTGTTTTAGTGTTTGAATACTCTCTTGAGTAACAGACGCAATGACACTAAAATCAGACACTGACTGAGTCGACTGTCGCGTCTGCAACTGTTTATAATTGCGTATTTTCATTCCAGAAAGTTCGAAAACAGTCAAATATAGAAAGTTATAGAGAGTTTAAAAAACTTAACTAATATACCTAACCTATGCGGCATGGAGCGCTAATTTTTCCTGAGGTATTTTGACCCAACGCTTTTTATACCCTCCCTGTTTTACTCTCACGGTATTACGTCCTAACGCCATTTTTTACGCCGTTATTTTATCTGAGCGTTTTTTGTGAATGCGCTGTTTTATTCTGCCGCTGTCTATTTTACGCTATTCCGTCCCGCGCTATATTATCTTGCGCTATTCCGTGGCGGTGACTAACCTGCCTTTTCTGCTGGCTCAAGTTTGAACCTTTTTTTATCTTATGACATCTTTTTACCTTCCTTAAACGACTAAACTTTCTTAAAACTTATGTTTACTTTCAGTGATGGATATCAACGACAGATATTTACGTGAAATAACTATTGGCGAATCGCCAACAGAAAAAGGGTTATCCAGAAAAGAAGGTTTTCAAATAAGTGTCGCCAGTGAAATAATGGCTATTCTAGCCTTAGCTAAAAATTTAGGCGATTTTAAAGAAAGATTAGCAAAGATGGTAGTAGCTTTCGATACATCCAACAACCCAGTAACAGCTGACGATATTGGAATTACAGGGGCCTTAATGGTACTCCTTAAGGACACGATAGAACCAACATTGCTACAAACATTAGAAGGGTCTCCGGTCTTTCTGCATGCTGGACCTTTCGCAAACATTGCCCACGGATCCAACTCAATTATTGCTGATAAAATTGGTTTGAAATTAGTTGGTGAAGAAGGGTTCCTGATAACTGAAGCAGGTTTTTCATCTGATATTGGTAAATACATTTGATAAAAAATTTCGATTTGAGGTTTTGGGTTCATTCCGTTTTGTATTCATATTGTAATAAAAAGACTAGGACTATTTCAAGAAGTTTTGTCTACATTTTCTTATGAATAAGTAACTTCACTAACTTTTATTACGGCTTTTTTTTCAGGTATGGAGAAATTCTTTAATATTAAATGTAGAGCTTCAGGAGATGTGCCAAGTGCTGTAACCCTAGTAACTACTATAAGAGCACTAAAAATGCATGGTGGCGGGCCACCAGTAACACCAGGTGCACCAATACCACATGAATATACAGAAGAAAACATAGAATTAGTGCGAAAAGGACTTCCAAATATACTTAAACATATTAGTAATGCTGTTAAATTCGGTATTCCTGTTGTTGTAGCCATTAATCATCGTGAGTAAGTATAACGATCAATTAGCTAGACTCGAGTCTAAAAATCCGATTCAGTTCAGGCAGCAAAAACATTCTAAAGACCTGATAAGGTTTCAATGAAAAAGTATGGTTCTGTAATCCTAATATCTATTATCTTCGCCTATACATTCAATTTTTTGACTCAGACCAGCAGTTGGTAACAGAGCTGGCGACAAACCCGTTTAAAAATCGCATTTCGAATAAAATATTTTTTTAGAACCGATACTGATGCCGAAGTAGAACTCGTAAGACAGACCTGCAAGAATTCTGGAGCTTTTGATGCTGTAGTTTCAAAACATTGGTCTCTAGGAGGTACCGGAGCAATCGAATTAGCTAAGGCTGTTGTTGCCGCTACCGAATCGCCTAGTAATTTCAAGTTTTTGTATGAATTAAAACGGCCAATAAAGGAGAAAATTGAAATTATAAGTAAAGAAATGTACGGCGCAGGAAATGTTTCCTACACCGAGTTAGCTGAAAAAAAAATAAGAGAATACGAAGAACAGGTAAATAGGGGAAAACATTAATTTAAAAAAGTTTATTATGTAATTCAAGCAGATGATTACATTCTAAAGCTTATACATTTTAATTATGGTATGGTTTATATGTTTATATGGTTTATCAATTTGAAAATTTGATTTTTTTTTTAAATGTTTATACTTCATATGATTTAAACCACTTTTAAACGAACTGTAACTTGTGTTTAAATATCTTTACTATTTTTTTTATTTAATGATTCAAATTGGTAGGTTGCCTCCGAAACTGACTTAAAAGAAATAGCCAAATTCACCTGCTTTATTTTCTTATTTTTTAGGGATTCGGTGACCTTCCAATATGTATGGCAAAGACTCCATTGTCTTTAACTGCAGATCCATCAATCAAGGGTGCTCCAACTGGTTTTACAATTCCCGTCAAAGATATGTATATATCTGTGGGAGCAGAATTTATCATTCCTATGACTGGAGATGTAAGTATCACAAAGCTATTTTCTATACTTATGAAGTTAAAAACTAGCTTTTATTCAGTTGTTTGGCATCGGCCGCTGCTGAGCACGGTACACGCTACACGCTACACCCTAAACAGAATTTTCTTCAAATCCTCTGGTTTTACTATCAAAAGTAGGGGTCTTAAAATAGGTAGCACTAGAGGAACCAGGAATTTAAGGTCGGAAGGCGCGAAAGGAATGGTGGTAGGTATCCGAAAGGATGTTACTAATCCTGCATTTGCCTAATGCTATAAGAAAACCTCTAAAAAATTAATAGCAGGTCAAGCGGCAGTTGGGATCGAAAGGAAAGCCTGATTTGAGGGGAGCTCCAATGACTGGACCCAAGCGCCCAATAAACACAAACTTCCGGCGCGATAACTGCCCGAAAGCGTAAAACCGAAATACCACGTTCGGGCCGAATATGGCAGCCGCCGCGGCTGACTAGTAGGGCATGTCCGCCCCACCGAACGTCGGCTAAATAGCGGCAAAAAGAGGCGATTTTGCTACCGGGCGGCTCGCGGCCCGTGCGTTGTTACCTAGTCTGACCCATACTCGGCAAATAGGTGGCACCGTTAACAATGCCGAGTGTCGGCGCAAATGCGGTATGACCCAGCTAGCACCGGACGTCGTTTCACGTCATAATCAGGTTGAATTTGGGTCAAATACGTCGATGTGATTTTTTTACGCAAAAGTAACGTAATAATGACGTAATTTTTGGACCAATTTGATACGTAAATATAGTTGTTGCGAACAAAATAAACCTATTTATATCATTAATGCACTTCGAGTTTTTGTTATTCATTATTAAATAAATAGAAGGTAATTTATACAACATTGTTTATTTAGCGGTCATTGTGACACCAAAATAAGACGTACTATGACGTTATTTAGAGACTAGTTTGTCACGTTCTGAAATGAGGCGTTAAACTGCGCACGTGTACACTTCGATTCTACACCTTTATTGTTTTATATTCAATTTATTAATAAAAGTATTTTTAGTGTTTATAATAAATTTATGATTCTCATTTTAAATCTAGGGATTTTTTGGGAATTTTCATTTTTAAATGAAATTTTATGTCAACACTGTTTAGAAATGTCAGCTGTCATGTCATTGTCCAGGGTTAGCGGTTCACGCCATTTTGTGTTATTTTTGTAACTTGTGTTTGCAACATTCTTTTATTGTATGATTTTGTATGTCTTTTGAAGGTAAGTAGTTAGGAAGTTTAGTGCGATATTATTGTTTATTTTTAGTATGTTTATAGGAATTCAATACGCCGACAAGCACGGCACCGGAGTATCATTAAACCACTTCAAGTTCCAAGTGGCCGACATCCTAGGAAATGAGGTTCTTATAAACAACAAGAACCTTTTAACAAGAGCTTAAAAAAGGAGAAAATTGGACTCTTTTCTATTTATAGAACATATTTTACCGAAGGTGAGTGATTTTTTATATTGTAAAGGTGCCTGTAGCTAGCCTAATTTTGTTTTAACTATTAACGTAGACATTAATATAAACAAAAATTTAAGGATTTTAAAACAAAACCGTTCATAAAGATAATTTAAACATATATATTCCTGACAGATCTGATTTTATTTATCTTGTTTAGCATATAATAATAAGTTGTGAACCATCAAATATATCACTTTTGTGACAGCTTAATGATATAAAACAATTTCTGTCTTTCTCGGTCATTGCTAACTCTATTTTTTGGCTCAAATTTTATTTAAATAATGTAAGTTTCTGGTAGTTATAACTATTATATTTTTGTTTTAGTGAAACGAAAATTTAATAAGGATACCATTGAAGCTGCTTCAAGCCTGATGTATATTCGGAATGATTTGTTGAATATCTGGACACTGCTATATAATCTTTTGTAATTTATACATTCTAAGTACATATTCTAAGAAGTAATGTTTATTTAGTAATAGTTCAGGTTAGTATACTTACTATGTTTCAATTCAGAAATTTTATGCAGTAACCTATCTTTTTTATATAAAACATATTTTTATTAAACATTTTTTAAATAAAACGTTTTTTATAAACATTTTTTTTACAAATTAAACATTTTTAAATGAATATTATGGTGTTTTTTTGACGTCTAAACACGTTATCTGGTGACGTGTTTATCACGTCGCTGTATGACGTCTTTGATCTGTGACATATTGCCGTCATAATCACGTCACTAGCACGTCATAAATTGGTGATTTCGACGTAAAATGTGACGTGTATTTCACGTGAAAATCACGTGTCTGTGCTAGCTGGGGATAGCATCCGAACCGCAAATACAAGGTGGCTTCCTTAAATGGTACTAACATTGGTATCCCAAACGAGTCCAACTGAAAAATACCAAATGAAATGATTTTTAAGAAATTGTAAGAAAATTATTTTAAATACAGAAGTTGTGAGAAACTTTTTTAATTTTCAAGCAACTGCATTTAATACTGCATGAATCAATTTATTAACGTGTTTCAGTGTTTAAACAACAGTAGATTTTTAAATTGTGCTCAAACAAAAATCACACATGCAGTATTAAGCACAGTTAAGTATTAATGCAAAAAGGTACATATATTTTTCAAATAATAAACTTACAGGTGGTCAATAACTTAGCTACTGAATATCCAAATGTTAGTGCCATTTAAGGAGCCACTTTGTGTGAATCAGAATTTAATTGCAAGTATACAGAAACAACTAGTTATTCTTTAAGTTAAAAAATTAAATACAAACACAAAATGGTGATAAAAGTTAAACTTTTATTTTTCGAACTTATTTATAGAAAAAAATAAAATAATTTCACATAACTTATTTTAAACGGAATTAATGCATCAAACGAAAAATAAAATCAGGAAAAGCAAGAAAATGTGTCAACCTTGTCACAATCCAAACAAAAAATATAAGCAATTAAAATTTATTGTGTCAGATATTTTCATAAAGTGCAGGAGATTGAACCTAATTTTTCATGTAGGGCCCAGAGTAAAAAGAGAAATTGTTTTTAAATGCCTTAAACCGATCATGACTAAATCAGCTGCAAGTAAACAAGATGTTGCCATGTGCTCCATTACTTCCTTGTAAATATTAAAACAATTCAAATTTAAAATAGAAGAAATAAAGCATATTTTCTACAACAATTGAAACTTCTACTTTTCCAGTGCCATAAAATTAGAAAAAAAACGAGATTTTTTTAAAGTTATTTCAAACTTTCTAAGCAGTATTCAGCAGATTTAAAGACAATTTTTCATTTTACTCTACATAAAAAATTACGGATTTATGAAAATATCGGACACAAATTTCTAATTATTATACATAATTATTTCCTTGACAAAATCTTGCACTTTCCTATACATATAGAAAATATTGCAGCATCAAAAATACAACCAACTACAATAAACAAGTACTATACTGTAATTAACAAAATAAACAAATTTTTTCAAAAATATCAAAAATACAACCAACTTCAATAAACAGGTACTACTGTAATTAACTAAAACAAAATCTCAAAAATTGCCCTCAAAATCAAATTCTATCATCGTTTCCTTTTTTCCTTGCTGCCCTTCCCCCTTCCCGATCTGGGGCATCCTTCAGCCAATTTTTGATTGAATTTAATATTTCGTTGTTTGTACTTTTTGCACATGGTGGGTTTCTTCTTACGGTGGCTAAAAATATTTTATAAATTACTATCTACATCAATGAAAATGAACAAATAAAAAAATGTATTTTCATAAAATGGAACGTTTGCAAAAGATGTTTTAAAGGGGCAATCCATCTATATTAAAATCTAAAATATACAACAAGTTATGTGTTTCAGTTTCTTTCTCGTATTTTTTATAAACTTGAATGAGATTTTTTTCAATTCCATAATAATAAAATTCACCTTGGCCCATCAATACTATTGCTGTGTGTCTAGGTGTATTTAATAATGTTCGGGCACATCTAGGTAAATTTTCAATATTTGGTTTTGTGGAAAACCAATGCAATAACTCAGTCAATGCATTATGGGTAATATTATTTTTTAAGGCCCAACTGCCTAAAAAGAAACAGCTTTGATTTTCAACATGTTCCTCGGGTACTAACGGCTCCTCCCTCATAGGGTTATCTAAAGCTTGTGTTTCTATTTCCAAATTAGAATATAAATTATCTTCTGGTTCGGAATCAGAATCTAATTTATATTCTGGTTCGGAATCAGAATCTAATATACATTCTGATTCGGAATCATAATTAGATTCTGCAACAACACCTTTGGGTTCTTCAATAAAACTGCTAGCAATACAGGTGTTAGTGCTAGTGGAAGGTAGATTAAAATCGGGATTTTCATTGTAAGATGTCCCTGGGGTACAATCACTAATCAAGTTTTTTACTTGTTTGGATAAAAGGCGTCTCTTATGCCTTTTGCTTAATTTAAGATTAAAGGACATAATTAATCGTAATAGGTACTTACTTTTTATCCTGGAACATATTTGAACTATTAAACCAACTATAACAAAAACTGAATAAAGACAGAGTGCACCTACAATTAACAAAACTGTAACGAATAACGAAATATATGCCGCCAATAAATTGACAAACGTGATGAGGATTGGAGGTTAGAGGTAGAAGTACATTTCTTCTTTTTTCTTCTTCATTTTTATAATCAATAATCGGATACAGATTGTTCGGCAATTCGGCAAAGATCCGACACGGGCTAACGACAGGCTAGCCTGAGCTGGTTAGAAATCGGAACCCCGTCTTCGGGAAGCCGTAGCGCGACCCTAAGCTGGTTAGAAATCGGAACCCCGTCTTCGGGAAGCCGTAGCGCAACCCAGAGCTGGTTAGAAATCGGAACCCCGTCTTCGGGAAGCCGTAGCGCAACCATACGTGGCTGAACTCTAAAATCCCGAAAGGCGGTAAATACCGTTCGGGTTTGAAATGGTCCCGACAGTGGTTGCCCGAAGTGGCGGTTGCCCGTACGTGCCGGCAGTCGGCCGTATCCATGCCGACTGTTCGGTGT